AGATAAGATTTATAGACATTTTAATTTGAATTGAAGTTTTAAAAAAGTGACAATTTTAGAAATCAAATTGACGCGTGTAGGTTAACAAAGATTTTATACATACATACAATTGGAAAGACTGGTGATTTTAAATTTTAAACTACGGGCACTGTAGCAGCTACGTAAGAATACACATCTGATGATGGCCATTTAGGGCCGAAACATGTAGTGTGGAGGAAGGAAGAAGAAAGAACTACAATAAAATTGTTGCACTTAAGACGGAGTTTGTCTCATATATATTGTGTCAGTAATCTTTTGGACAGTGCTGCACCCCTTTTTGCGACTATATTTCAAGCCCTTGTACTGGAGCCCAGGATTCGACCCACGGACCTCCTGACAAGGATTCGCCCGTTTCGAGTATTTAACTCTGCTGGTCACAGGAGACTCAGTATTTGCTATGTTAATACGACGTGGATTCGTCTTTCTGGTTACATGCAGCCTGTCGTTGAACCTTTGAACCACTGGACCCTGAATGTCTTGAGGCTTAAGTTGGCCGCTGAAGTGGAGGTCGTTGCAGTGTGTCGGCCCTCGTTTGCAAGTTCACTTCCGCGGGGGGTGTGTTCCCTCCCACACTGACACTTTTCTGTTTCAACATTAACCGTCCTTTGGTTTTGTTCTGTACTGTGCTTCATGTCCAACCCTGGTCTGTTCTGCAACCACGCACGTCTTGCACACCCGTCGCTATTTTCTTTTGTTTCCATGTTCAGTATTCTGATCTATGTAAAAGAAAGTAAAGCTATTCCTGTAACGGACCGTGGAGGGCCATAAAGTTTTGAGACATGGAGGCTCCCACGTTTTCTAGCCAATCGGCTCACAGATGGCGGTGAGGTTGTCAGCCTTACACGCCGGCCGCTCTTTACCCGTCAGGAATATTCCTGGTACTCATTTCTGTTAGAGGCTGAGTCGACCCCAGGGCGGCTGGAAGGATTAGGTCAATTGAAAACACCCACTTCATCGGGACTTGAACCCGTGACCTTCAGGCTTTCAGAATTTGCCTCAAGCAACTACGCTACCGCGTACCCCTTTGGCTCATGCAGCACGGCTGAAATTGCCAAGAATCTGTATAGAATTTTAGCAGCTTTTTAATTCTTTATTCGGAAAGTGTGTTTGAAATACTTGTATCCCAGAGTTGGAGTTTCAGCGAATGCATTTTCAGCTATTTTATCTCTGTTTATGCTATGTGGATTCGATGTACGTTTGGCTATGTGGGTGCTTATTTACCAGTATGTACTTATGGCCTCATTTCAGAGACAGTTGCCATGGAATGTCTGAGGAGAACCTAGTCTGTAGTCCGTCCGAGATCTGAAACAGGAGCAGGACTACAGGAGTCTAGCGTCGAATGGTAAGATGTATGGATCGGGAAGTATACGGCTAGAAGCGAGGGTTGCCTATTTTGTTGCAGTATCCTGGAATATCTTTGGAAGGCACTGAGGAATACGGCGAAACACCTCGATCGGGATGATCATGTGTTTCGGCCGAGATGTGAACCTCACATTTCCCGAATACAGTCAGACGAGTTTTGGCTTGAGCAACTTGGAAGCTTGTCTCTAGATGGAAAGCGGCCACTCGTTACATCTGCGTGTAAGGATATTCCCTGGTGGTACCGGTTTCCTGTAGCCGTCAGCTAAAGACAAGCCGTTATGTAAATCCCCAAATGGCTTCAGTGACGACACTCCAGTCCACGTTTCGCCCCACCTTCACCTGTTCCATCAGCTCCACGTCTCACATTTGTACTGCTGATTTCAAATTGGGCCCCCATTCTTTTTGGCCAGGGCCATATTTTCAGATTTATCCGTTGAGAAAGTGGGCATCTGTCCAGCGATTCAGATTCTTGGGGCCGTGACCCTTCGAGTCTGTGGGCAGTATTCACACGAGGGACATAGTTAAGTTTCCTTTTTGGGGCTTGTACGCTTGGCAATCATACCTTTGGTTTGAATGCGTGAAATGTTAACTGTTGTATTTTCAAAAACAGTTTCATACCAAAGCCCATTTTTAGATTACGCCTAAGTGTTTTTAATTCTTTCCCGTTCCTCTTGACGGGATAGCTCAGTCGGTATAGCGACCGGCTACGGGCTGGGCGACCGAGGGCCCGGAGTTAGAGTCCCAGTAGGCTCAAGAATTTTACCTTCTCCACGTTGTCCAGACCGGTTCTTGGGTCAACCCAACCTCTTATCCCCTTTCTCCGGGGGTAAATCGGCCGTGGCGTGAAGCTAACCACACATCTCCAACCAGTATCGAGGCCAAGAAAACGTGGATCTGTACATCGACTCCTCCATGCGTCTTTATGATGTAGTGCTTAATTAGTTAAGCACAGGGAGAACTTTACTTACTTGCTTCTGTTAATATAACTATTACGCACTGGCATCAATTTATAAGGTACCGCGTTTTCTTTAAGCAAAACTGAAGAGACGCGATCACAAGAACATAGGTGTACTCCCCCTATACACGATGTCAGAGGGATCAGTTTCATTTTCCAGGCGTTGACTTATAAAAACGGTGGGAGCGTGAACCTGTCTAATACCGAGGTTCGCCCCTGTTCCAAGACACAGACGGGAACGCCTGGCCACTCTTTCGCCTTTTCCCCATGTTCTCTGATATCCAGGTTCGGAGCGGTGTTAACCAGCCGCGTGGTCTCCAAGTCATGAACCGTCTTCGCTCACTCTGTCGCTGGGATCGTGGGTTCGAATTCCACTCAGGACATGGATGTTTAGTATGTGTGTGTTTTTATTCTGTGTTTAGGTAGCAGCCTCGTGACGGGCTGATCACTAGACCAAGAAGCCCTACCGTCTGTGTAAAATGATTACGGAACTGAATAAGAGGCCTAGGCCTGAATGGCCTGGAAGACCCATTGAAAAAACTGAGTAGTTTATCCGTCATAGATTAGTGCTCTGTGAACATGAGCATAAAGGTGAAGCTATCCGTGTAAGAGGCTGTGGAAGCACAAAGAGTTGTAAGATGTCGAGGCTTCCACATTTTCTAGACAGTTGGCTCACTGATGGCGGTGAGGTTGTCAGCCTTACGCACCGGCCGCTCTTTATCCCCAGGAAGATGTTTGATACTCATTTCTGTTAGAGGCTGTGTCAACTTATGCAGCTCCCAAAATGGGTGCTCTTGAAATTGGTCCCAAGAAACAAAATGACAGATTTCTCGAAAACGACCGTAGGAATTCCGCAGTTTATGAAGACCGTCTCTCTCTTTAGAGCCGAAACACTTCTGTGGGAAAGTGTGTGTGCACGGACCCCGCTGCAGAATGGCACGGCGTTCAGTGCAAGCCTGTGGAACCCTGTGGCCTCGATATCCTGCCTGTCTGTTGCCATGTTTTGCTTCAGGCAACTCTACTCACTTTCTCTTCCTCTGAACACGTACCTGCGGCCTAAGTGGACGTTTTTATATAGTTTTACAGTCACCAATTTTATACATATTGTTAAGCATGGGTTGGCAAGCAGTCTAACCACCTGGTGTTTCGTAAGGAAGAAAACAGGAGTCAAATACAACACGATACATTTTGTCGTTTTTTTACGACGCACTCAGTATGTCAGACTGTATGGCGTCGGACGGTAGGTTAATCGGTGAATAATGAACTGCAAACAATTTGGCTGCCGGCGGTAGTGGCCTATGAAGCATACTACAAGTATCCCTGCTTATGGTAGGAAGGCCTCAGGAAAACACGAAAACCCTCACCCTAACCTGTATACTGGACGATGTTCGAAGCGTGTACCTCACGACCTCACGAACATAACCTACAACGTTGCCGTCACACCAGCCTGCTTGCAGTAATACCATATTCCATGTGCTTAACTAAGCACTACTTCATGCAGACCTCTGGAGAAGTGTATGTATGGATCCACGTAATCTGGGTGGGTAGTGAGCTCCACGCTCCAACCACTTTACCTCCGATGAAAGAGCCGTTCTGTACACATCGCACAGAGCCTGCGTGAGCCCCAGCACCAGTCTGGACACTACGAAGAAAGTCCCTTGCTCCTACCTGGGATCGAATCTCTATTGCTCGACCGTTCAGCCACTAGTCACTATACCGCCTGTGCTATACTAGCTGTGTGTGAACCTACATTGTACAGATGTTAGTGTGGAGGCGGAGTGTTTCCTTATCGTCACATGGCCGCACTTGTTGAGCGGTGTAAGTTCCCACATTCTGTCTGCTGACCGAAGTGTTGCTGAAGTGGCTGTGTGTGAGTTTGTAATTATCGCCAGTCTTGAAGAAATAAGTGCATGAAAACGAAAGTCTGTGTCCGGCTGCTTGCAACACAAACGTACTTGGTTCTGTTATGGCCGTAGCCTTTGTATGCGACTGCTTTGTTAGCGTCAGTGGCAGGGGCAGCGGCGCCTTCTCCCGGTGACGCAGTGTTCGGAGACTCGCTGATGAAATGCCAGTATGTTCTCTCCAGTGTGTGCTTTCTTAATGCTGGGGCCTTCACACTCTGTAAACACTCACGTTCTTCTTGCATTGCTCATCGCAGAGGCTTAAATGGGATATGTCGTCAGCACCGTCCAGCGTCACAGCTGAATGACCACTGTTGCTCTGGTCGCCAGGTCCTGTCGCCCTCACTGCTACTGCAGTCCCAAGCGGCGCCTCAAACGTTAAACGCTATCGTGGCGAATAGGCATGTGTTTTGTGTTATAACGAAATGTAGTCCTCTGAAAGTAAACCGACGTTTCGTGGGAACATGTCGCCTACATCTTCAGGGATAGAGAATAAAGCTAGCAAGATGAGTTGAGATAGCGACTGGCTACGGGCTGGGTGGCAGGTCAATAAATGTGGCTCTATACCTCCATTCTCCCATACTTCTTCATGACGTAGTGCTTAATTAGTTAAGCACTATTCCGGCTTCCCATTATTATCATCATCATAATCATCATCTGTGGCGTCTTGCTTATACTAGCTGCAGTGAAACTTACCGCTAAAGTAAAGAGTGTCACCGAAGGAAGTGTGTTACTTCGGAAAGTGCCGTTAAAGAAGCAAGGACGAGAACACGCATTTGGTCCTGTTGTTCCATGCATGGATACTGACACATCCGGTCGGTACTCTCTCACTGCTGGCTGCCGTGAGGACCAGGCGAGGCGGCTTGCGTAACTACCTCCATGGAGCTGAGATCTTCTCGAGAAGTTGCCAGTTGTACAGATACCCAAGAACTTCCCAGCATTTTACGGAACCCAAAGGTTCATTATCGTGTTCACAAGAACTCTCCACTGGCCCCTATCCTGAGCCAGATCAATCCAATCCATACCATCCCATCCTACCTCTCTAAGAGGCATTTCAATATTGTTCACCCCTCTACTTCTTGGTTTTCCTAGTAGCGTCTTCTGGCTTTTCCACTAATATCCTCTATGTATTCCTCTTCGCCCCATTCGTGCTACACGCCCTGCCAACCTCGTCCTCCTTGACTTGATCATTCTAATTATACTTGGAGAAGGGTACAAGTTATGAAGCTCCTCATTATGCAGTTTTCTCCGACCTCCTGTCACTTCATCTCTCTTCGGTCCAAATATTCTCCTCAGCACCCTGTTCTGAAACACCCTCAGTCTATGTTCCTCCCTTGATGTCAGAGACCAAGTTTCACACCCATACAGAACCACAGCAGACGAGAAGACAAAAGGATCTGGACTGAATGGTAGCAAGCATTACCCCAACTCTTTCTGCTTTTAATCAAATTTCCATCTGTTTCTGTCGTTCCCAAATATTTCGCGCTGTGTGCACGGCGTCACACGCTTCACAATGCAGAGGGAATGTAACTGCTCCGTGTGGGATAATTATTTCCCGTTATTGTGGCAGCCTTGTCATTCCTTCTGAGGACCACACCCTCGTTCCACCAACTTGCGCCGCGGTAGCCTTGGTGACCAGAACCAGGTCCCACCGTGGGCGATGAACAATGGTGTGCTGAGCGCGTGTTTGGCACTGCGCCATGGAGGTGTATGGGGGCGTTGAGGTGAAGGTGTGCATTACAGTGATTGGAAGTGATCCGGCTCCTTTGTTTAAGAGGAAAGATTTCTAGTACATAGTAAACCTTCGCTAATCCGGCGTGTAGCCCTTGTGACGTGGTCAGGACCCCTTTGAGTGAAGGGGGCAGCTGCCCAGAACCCCCTGTTTTTAAAGGGGCTCCACTGTAAGGTCGTCGGTACCGCATGCTTAAACTTTCCCAGACTCTTTCAGAAGGCCCGGTCCTTACTGTCTGTGTGGGGCACGCCGTAGCGTACTTGGTTGAGGCACTATGCTACAAACCGGAAGCGGGTTCGATTCCTGTTGAGGCCACTGGATTTTTCAGTTGACCTAAACATTTCAGCCGCACTATGGCCTTGGGGTCGACTCAGCCTCTAACACAAATCAGT